ACTGAGACAGAAAGAAGGTGGCTTGTTTGGGAAAAGGAGGCTTTTGCAGTACGTTGGGCCCTTATGACCTGGAGGCATCTCCTAGTGGGAGGGGCCCAGCCATTTGTAGTATGGACAGACCACAAGAATTTGGAGTCTCTTACAGCTCCAAGAAAGTGGCACATAAAGCTTGTCTCCCATCCACCAAGCTTGGTCCTCATGGGTTAAAATATTTTTATTATTCTGGAACCATTTATCTGAATCCAAAGCAGCATTTATGTTTTGGAGTAAGTCGGTGGTAGGTTTTTGTTTCTGGAGTTTTGTCTGAGACCTGGTTAGAGCTACTGAGCCAGGTTCTAGTTGAGGTGGTGCTTTAAGGATTACCGGGGCTACCACCTGTTCTCTTTGGCTGTTATGCTGAGGCAATCTTGACAACGCATCAGCTAAAAAGTTTTTCCCTCCTGGTATGAATTTTAAAGTGAAGTTAAAGCGACTGAAAAATTGGGCCCAGCGTACTTGCTTAGGTGACAGCTTTCTTGGAGCTGTAAGAGACTCCAAATTCTTGTGGTCTGTCCATACTTCAAATGGCTGGGCTCCTCCCTCTAGGAGATGCCTCCAGGTCATAAGAATTTGGACTCTGACAATGATTTCTCTGAATTTGTCCAAGAGGAGGCATCTAACAGTTAGTCAAAGGCAGCAGTGTCTCTTGGTAGCGGCAGTAGAACTGCTATTGTAAAATTTCAGTGGAGGAGAGGTTTCCTACTGATATCTTCCCGTGAGATTTAACAGAAGTGTGGGAAGCCAAAGAGCGTATGATGAAAGTGCAGTGAAAGACAGGCTGTTCACATGTTCTTCTTGGCTATCTCATAGTAAATGCAGTAACCTCACGCTCTACTCACTGAGAATTTCATGGAAGTGCTCTTCTAATCTGAAAGTAAGTTTGAAAGCAAATTTCCTTTTATCTCTTTTATCCAACGGAATGAAAACTGGTAAGAACATATGCAGGAGAATGTTTTTGTGATTAATATTTATACTGTTTTCAATCTTCATTTTCAGAAAGTTAAGTGAATGGTAGTGCAGCAACTGTTGCATGTTGTCTATTCCCTAAACCCATATCTTCTGTTATATGCATTCTCTAGGCCCATTCACTTAGATCAAAAAGCACGATCTAGGGAAAATTGCCTGTTTTTACTATACTCTTCATGGATTTTAATACTAAGGATTATCAAACTCAAGCAGGCTACTAATATTTTACACTGGATAGACGAAAACAAGTTGGAAGCAAGATGAGAGGGACTTGCTACATCTTATTGACTAAGTTAAGCGCTACCTCCTTTTTAAAAGCAAAATAAAACACGGAACATTATCTGTGGCTAGGAACAAAGTGCCTGTATATTCATGCCACTAGAGGGCAATGCCGTACAATTATTACAAACAGCATTATAGCTGGCGAACATAGGAATTGGCACTTGGTAACTGGAAAGACACAAATATCTTCAAGTGTTCTGTTAAAACTGTAGAATGATAATATCTAAAACTTTTAATAAATACTTCCTTGGAGTAACCTAACCATCACAAGAAATATACCAGAAGAGACATACTTGCACCGTTTCAATTTATAGTAGTCTTCTTTAACTTGGAGCCCTTAGATGTATCCCCGTGACCAGAGTTGTAGTGATATGCATCTGAGCCACATAAAGTGCAACAGAAGATCTTACAACTCAGTGCAATTTCAAGAGCAAAAAGAAGCCCAACAGGGAATTGCTGGAATTGCTGACACCATACCAAAGGGTTGCCCAACCTCCTTACAACTTAGGCATGTTTACATAACATAACAAAAAACAAGGAAAAAGACTCAAACACTTGGGCACCCTTTACCCAGCATTATCTAAAAATGTTTCTCGATAATGAGAAATAGGAAAATAAAAATTCCTTAGTTACTGCATGTTGCTCCTGAGTGTCAAATGATCTCCATCACACTGTGCTGAATCACATCTGCTTGCCTTGCATTGGAACAGACCACAGGGCAGAAAGTTGTGGAATGAATAACTTTCCCCAACTTGCATGTTTTCCTGATCTGGGACTTTAACTCTATTAATCCTTCGCTGCTCTGCTATACCATGCAAGAAAAAGACAAGTTCAGAGTGATCAAGGAAATAAGGAGCAATGCAATCGTTACAAAGATTCTTAATATATAAAGGTTTAGCTGCGTCTATACACCAAATTTAAATGCTCATAAACTTATTTAATCTTATGAATATTTGTGCATTTTCTACATACATACAAACACATATACACACATTGACTTGTACTGCACTCAGTTTGCACTGAGCAGGAGTCATAACTCCATAGGCTAAAGAACTCTTTCCAGCCCTGTGATTTTATTCAGCTGTATAGGAGCCAGGCTAACCACCCTCATTCCCAATCTATTCATGATTTTGTCAACCCCATTCAAATTCATTTGCCTGGAATGAACTTTCCCACTCTGTGCAACTTGAAAATGTACGTGCTCCTCTGCACAAATATATTACTTTTGACCAAGCTAGGAACACAGGAAGCTGCCTTATCTATGGATTGTTTGGTGAGTGCAGGAAGGCTCACATCACACATAGTGATCTTTACAAGGGGGCAATTCTAATAAAAT